ATGATGGACAGCAGGGGTCAGCGAATGTCCGTCCTGCCCTCGTTGTGATCTAGTATGACTATTGTGTAGTTGCGAGGAGTGTCAGTTATCGAGAAACGTGGTTTTGACAGCCACTGTGGTCAAGTGAGTGCTGTCCGGAAACGTCCAAGCTACACAGACAACAGAAGCGATGTAATGACAGTTTCGTCTTTCAAGTTTGTGAACAGAGTCAGGGGAAGAAAGTACAGATATAAAGCCGATATCGTTAGAGGCTGATTTCATAACTTTTCGTTATACCATACGTTCTGTTTGATCTTAACATCAAGTTAATAACACGTCAGACGTTAAGTTGTTACTAATAAAAAGTTGAGATCAATAAGGTGTAGCAACACGATCGTAAAAACTTTCTCCCAGAAGTATCAGAATTTCCACTTTATGTTGTATAGTTTACGACTAGTATTTTGGTACAATAAAATATCATTTTTCACAACGCATTTCTTGATCGGGCCATAGTATGTTTATGGGTTTATTATATAAAGTAAAAAAGATCTATTCTTTAAACCTAGGAGAGACGTTACAACTTCAACGGTCTATATTACAAAGCCTAGGAAACGTTTTTCTGGATTTATTTGTAGACGTTTGTAGTATTTTATTATTTACAAGATATATATATATTTTGGATTAGTCTCCGATGATAAGTTGGACAAACCTTGTGAGATATTATTGGGATTACGGCCGAAAATATCATTAACAGTAAATTAGTTATATTAATTTCCCGATGGAGTTTTATTTCTAATCTATGTAGGTAGCACACTTTGATTAGAAGGTAGTGATAATTAACTAGATATTTAACATTTACACGTGTTTTAAAGCAAGTAATAAGAGTAACTGTTTAAGTATGATTGGTTTGGAGGAGTTACAAAGGTTGGTGATCGACATTGCTTATACATAGCAGCCTAAATTAACTTAATTTAACAATAAGACTATTAATCATTTATATAATAGTGGTTCTAATAGACTTTCTAGAAGTAGAATTAGTAATTTATTACTCTCATTTTTTTATCTAGTTTCAGATTCAAACTATAAAAATAATGACAATTTGATCCAAGTGTCGGGACAGGAAGTGCAAGTTAATCCTACTCTGATTTCAATTTAAGAATAATAATAATAATTTAATCCTAGTATCAGAACTGGAGGTGCAAGCTACTCCTATTTTTATTACAGTACAGGAATAATTTAATCCTAGTGTCAGGACCGGCCGTGCAAGTTAATGCTATTCTGATTTCAGTATTATAATAATAATTTAATCCTAGTGTCAGGACCGGCCGTGCAAGTTAATGCTATTCTGATTTCAGTATTATAATAATAATTTAATCCTAGTGTCAGGACCGGCCGTGCAAGTTAATGCTATTCTGATTTCAATATAATAATAATAATTTAATCCTAGTGTCAGGACCGGCCGTGCAAGTTAATGCTATTCTGATTTCAATAT